GTTCACTCAGATGCTTCCTTTGCACTATGTACAAAAGATAACACAAACAGGACTGACAATGTCAATGACATTTCAAGCTTTAGATGAATTTTTACTAAAGTATGTAAGATAGTGTAATTGCGTCATATTGTGAATATTATATCAATTATTTATTTTAATCCGTCTGATCACAATATATTGACCCACACCTATTCGAAGACACTAGTACTTCTGGACATATTGGGACACTCACTCCTACATCTTTGGCCGATATGTACATCTAATAACATTTAAGAAAAACAACACCTTCACCCAAAAATGAAAAACAAACGAAATGAAACATCACCAAAAAACTACAGAAATCATAATTGAGTTTTAAGTTCTTAGATATATTTTACACCTGATGATGGTTTTATAAAAACCGAAACATGTTGTGTAAATGTTCCGAAATGTAAATCGATCAATCGATATGGAACATGAATGATATTTTATTATCTTAATTATAAGAAATTTTAAATAAAATTATATTGTGATCAGACGGGTTAAAATAAATAATTAAAGTATGTAAGAAAATTGTTATTGAAGCTTAGCTCTAAGTAATTCTTGCACGTAGTCACTTCAAGCAAATTTCAGGTTATCATGGCGACGAATATAATGATGAATGTCTTCTGAGACTTTGGTCCGTGTAATCTGGATGGGTCAGAAATTACCTCTGAAACTTCGGTCAGCTTCCATCAGATTAAATGGCGCCACGTTCCAGAGGTGATCTTCACAGTCATTTGAGATTATGTAGTGGTATCTTCTTTTACCGTGCCACGGTGGTCTAGCGGTTAGAAGACTGGCCTTGTAATCCTGGGGTCTCGGGTTCGATTCCCGGCGGTGCCCGAATTTATAACTTGTGTTGGGCAAGGCCGTGGTCTAGGCAACACGGAGTTTTCCTCCGGGGGCTTCCCCGGTTTCTCCGTGACATCCCAACAATTACTCCATTCACACACAGAAGAAGGCAACGGCAAACCACTTCTGGATCATCTGCCAAAA